TTAGTTGAATTTTTCATGGCCCTTGCAAACCTTGTTATTAACTTGAAAGTGCGTAGTTGCTTTAGGCGCGCTATTTTAAAATTAATTTCTTAAATTCGGGTGTGCATTTCATGTGACCCAACTCCAATTCTCAACAACATTAAATAAAATGTATCGTGGACCGCGGGTGCATTTCATGTGGCGTGGTTCAAGATGTGTTTTAGATAACGTTGAATCTTCCTAAAATTAATTAAAAGCGGCTAATAAGTTAAAAATATACCATAGGTTAAAACATGTATTAAAATCAGATAATAGGCCAATTATAATAGTTTAAGCGACCATGCTAGAACCACGGAATCCGGGAATGCCTAACACCTTCTCCCGGGTTAATAGAATTCCTTACTTAGAATTTCTGGTTCGCAGACTTCAAAAAGGAAAGTCGAATTTCCTTGATTTGGGATTTGAAAATAAACCGGTGACTTGGGACACCAAAATAAACTATTCGAAGTGGCGACTCTGAAAATTAAATCAAATAATCCCATTTCGAATAGTGTCACTTAAATTGGAAAAACTCCCTTGTACTACCTTCGGGTGTGTAAAAAGGAGGTGTGACACCATCTGCATCTGCATCATCAATTGTAATACTTTATTCTTCCAAAACACGTCGAACTCGCTTTCCATATGTGACTGTAATTTTTGAAACTTTCTTGGCCGCTGTTACGCCATTGATTTCTTTTCCCCCACTTATGACATTGACAGTCCTTTTTGGTGAAGGGGGTTTTGGGGGCTCCTGTCTGTTTTTCATATATGCCTGCTTTCCTTTTTCACTAAATAATTCAGTTAGATACCCTTGCTTCAATAAATGTTCAACTTCACCTTGCAGCAATCTACAATCCACCGTTTTGTGACCGTGATCATGGTGAAACTCGCACCAATACTCAGGATTTCACCTGTTTGGATTTGATCTCATTTCTTTTGGCTAGCGTACCTTGTCGCCCATGCTCCTCAAAGCAGCCACCAATTCGGACGTGCTTACATTAAAATTGTAACCGCCGATCTTTGCCTTAGAGCTTCTGTCATCACCACGCGTCTCTCGTACGTTTCGTTCCTTCCCGAACCTTGATGATGAACCCGACTCCCTATCTCTTGATCTATGATCGTACCTGAGGTTATCCTGTTTTGATCGTGAGTCTCTTCCTGTTGGTCCCATGTACGGTTCGTACCTGTTTTTACCGGACCTTTTTTCATTTTCAGCTCGCCTTGAACTTATCTTTTCATCCCTTTGAGATTGAATGATGGTATCCTCTTCTATCCGCAGCTTCGTGCTGTATCTGTTATAAACATCATTCCAAGTTGTAGCCGAAAATTCTCGTAGGCTTTCCTTGAGTCTCCTCATGGCTTCTGAACTTTTTTCGTTTAGATTGCTGGCAAATGTCATCGCTGCCCAGTTATCTGGTACACGTAGCAACATCATCCTTTCACGCTGTAACCTGTCTACGAATTCCCTGAGCAGATCCGTATCTCCTTGCTTTATTTTAAAAATGTCCTCCATTCTTTTCTCAACTTTTTGAGCTCCCGAGTGTGCTTTGGTGAATGAATCTGCAAGTTCAGCAAAAAAATCTATAGAATTTTCAGGTAAAAGAGAGTACCATGTTAATGTTCCCTTAGTGAGTGTTTCTCCGAATTTTTGACCAAATCTGATTCAATTTCCTGCTTGGTCCAGTCGTTGCCTTTTACAGCGGTTGTGAAAGCAGTTACGTGATCTCGTGGATCAGTGGTACCATCATATTTTGGGATATCGGGCATCTTAAATTTCTTCGGAATTGGTAAAGGAGCAGCACTTGGCTTCCAAGGTTGTTGTGAGTATTTATCTATATCTATCCCCTTGATTATAGGCGGTACTTCAGGTATTTGCTCTATGCGATCGCTTTGTTCCTTGAGCTGTCTCTGCAAAGTTAGTACTAAATTTTATAAATCAGAATTAATTGGGTTACCTGACCCTCCGTCAAGAGATTCGCTAGGGGTTCCCCCACTGCCTGAGTTAACGAGTCCTGAGCGAGGATTTTCTAAGGTGTTGTTGTTTGGAGTTGATGTTGGTGGCACAACTGGTAGCTGGTTAGCGAAAGCCTCAAGAGCTTTGCTGACCTGTTGAGCGATTAACTTTTGCAAAGCTTCGTTGATAGCCTCATCATTTTCCAATTGATCATTTGCATTTGATTGAGATCCATCAGGAGTTCCTTCTCGAGATTGTCGAGGAGAATTTTATGGGGAAGGGACCGGGGTTCCATCACCTTGCTGATTCTCCTGGAGTTGACGGTCTCTTTGATTGTTGTCATTGACATTTGACATGACTGATTTGACAAAAAGATTAATTTAGGAAGGAATAAATTATCAGATTCCCGGTAACGGAACCAATTTGTTTAACAAAAAACCGGGATTTCGGTCAAAGCTTATTTTAGAAGAACTCGGGTTACTGATAATCAATTAGAAATATGAATCATTGATATAAATAATAGCTGAATAGAAAGCAAAATAAATCAGTGTATTCCAATAGTATTTCGTGCCCTTACAGATGTTCATTCCTTACCTTTTATAGCTATTTCTAAGTAATACATTTTTCTCTTTTCATAATTGAGTCTTTATGGACAGTTAATGGCATTTAATGTAACGTTATAATTGGCAATCGTAACTGATTTAATACAGATTCTGTAACATTTTCTGTAATTAATGCCTATTAATTTTCAATAATATGTATCTATACCCCTTTTGCTATTTAGGTTCACTCTTCTGATGCCTCTTCAGAATATCAAGAGGTTCGAGCACCTATCCCTTTTGGCTTTCTTGGATTTTTGCCGTGCCTGCTAAAGTTCGTGCCTCTTAATCTATTCTTCGCCAACTGACATTCATTTACCAATCCATGTGTCATAATATGTCACCACATAATTAATTCGATATATTAATTTAATTTTTCCCAATACAGACATATCCGAATTTCATCTTGAAATTCCTTCCGTATTGGTCCGAGTTAATTCCTGAAGTTGATCTCAAAGTCAGATACATATGTTTACAGCTTTGCACGCTCTAGTGGGAACAAAAATCCATATCTTAAGTTAGAATCTCTCAAATCACGAGGCCCTTAATCCCCTAGAAACCAGGTATCGAGTGCGGCAACATGCAAAAGTTTTAGATTGAATATCCTTCTGGACCGACCATAATTAATTTTTGAAGTTGGCCTCTAGTCATGACTTGTTCCTTTTGCAGCTTTGGCCACTCTTGTTGAACCAACCATATCTTGGTGTAGGCGAGTGCAGCCTGAAAATTATTTTATGCATCTGAGACCAGACTTATATCGCAGCCTCGCGTCAAAATTTCAGATCAAAATTCCTTCTGGATTAGTTGCAGTAGTTTCTTGAATTTGTTCTAACTGCAGTAACTTTACAGGTTTGCATAGTTTCAGCGTAGAAAATCATATCCCGAGCTAGGAGTGTTAGAATTGTGATCCGTCTATGCCGTTAGAAAGAAAACTCAGAGACCTACAACGCATATGAATTTCATAGCAAAACTCCTTTTGGGCTGTCAAAAGAAATATTTTGAAGTTGGCCTAACCGCAGTAAACTTTCAGATTCACGTACTTTCGGAAAAAAAAACCGTATCGTGCGCTAGGAGTATCGGAATTGAAATCTGTTTGCTTCGTTAGAAAGTACACTCAGAGACTTACAACTCATACGGATTTCCTAGCAAAACTCCTTTCGAGCTGTCAACAGAAAATACTTGAACTTGGCCTAACTGCAGTAAACTTTCAGATTCGCGTACTTTCAGCGAAAAATGATGTATCTTGAGCTAGGAGTATCGGAATTGCATTCCGTTTGCTACGTTAGAAAGTATACTCAGAGAGCTACAACGCATACATATTTCATAGCAAAACTCATTTTGGGCTGTCAACAGAAAATTCTTGAAGTCTGCCTAACCGCAGTAAACTTTCAGACTCCTACGTTTAGTTTTTTTTTGTTTTTTTGTTTTTGCGAAAGAGATCATATCTTGTGTATGGTGAATCCGAATTGCAAGATGTCTGGTCCTTCGGCATCTTACCTTCGGAAGGTATGGTCATTCCGAAGATGAAGATCGAGCTCATCCTTGATTGACTTTAACAAATTGTTCAAGAATTTGGTTGATGATGACTTCGTGTCACACCAATCTCTTCTTTTTTTTAAACTCACGCGACTGATCTTAGAATAAGACTCTAAGCTGCCTACGTACCTCAGTGAAGAGGATCATGTCGTAACGTAGTTCAAAGTCAATATTTTTTTTGACTGATGCGACTGAACTCTGAATGTGACTCTAAGCTGCCTATATACCTCGGTGAAGAGGATCAAGTCATCACGTAGTTCAAAGTCAATAATTTTTTTGACTAATGCGACTGAAATTAGAATGAGACTCTAAGCTGCCTACGTACCTCGGTAAAGAGGATCAAGTCATCATGTAGTTCAAAGGGATGAGTTCTTTTATTTTTTTTTGATATTTTTTATGTCCTAATTTTTTGCGTAGGCTGCCTGTCGCGAGGTTTTCAACCTAACGGACTTTGTTTTTTTGTTGTTGGGCCGTACACAGTTTAGACTCATGCGGGCCATGAGTGTAGCAACATGAAGTTTAGGCTCTTGCATTAAGGAGCTTCATGACTTGCAGTTTAGGCTCGTATGTCGAGGATCACATTTTCCTTAGGGATAATAATTCTTCAAGAATCTTCCATTGCTGCGACCTATCCACAAACCATCCGCATCTACAAGCTTGTAAGCACCGCTAGAATAGGCTTCTTGTACCATATATGGCCATCCCTATTCGAGGTGAACTTGATTTTGGACTTATGAGAAATGATAATGGGTCTTCTTACTCCAAGGACTTGATCACCTACTTGAAAAGACCTTAGGAGAACCCTTTTATTGAAAGCACTAGAAAGATGAGCTTGATAGCATTCGAGACTTTGTTGAGCTTCTAACCTTTTCTCATCAAGGGCCTCTAGTTCTTCAAGACGTAAACGAGCGCTTTCCTTCAGTAAGCCCTTGTTGGATAGTGAGTTGTAAGGATGGTATTTGACGCTCAAGAGGAAGAACTGCTTCGACTCCATAAACAAGAGAATAAGGAGTAGCTTGTGTTGGTGTGCGATGAGTCGTCCGATATGCCCACAAAGCTTCTTCAATTTTGTCATGCCAATCTCTTTTAGATTTGGAGACGACCTTCTTTAACAAGTTGCATAGTGTCTTGTTAAATGCTTCGACCAGTCCATTTGTAGCAGCATAATACATTGATGAATTACGTTGCTTGAACCCAAAAAGGTCGCATATCTTGGTTATCAATTTGTTATTGAACGACTTGCCATTATCTGTTATGATATAACTAGGAATGCCGAAATGATAGATGATATTCACTCGAATGAAGTTTGCAACATTCTCCTTCTTCACTTCTTTGAGGGCGACATCCTCCGCCCATTTCAAGAAGTAATCAGTTGCAACTAAGATAACAAGTGGCCACCAGAAGATTTCGGTAGCGGTCCAACGACGTCTAATCCCAAGCATCAAATGGCCAAGATGCTACAGTTGGATGTAACACTTCAGGAGGCTGGTGTATAAAATTTGAATGAAGTTGGCATGCTTTGCATCTTCGGGCATAGTCCAAGCAATCTTTGACCATCGTTGGCCAATAATACCCCATTCTTTTTTATGTGAAAATGCAGCTTCGGCCCCGATTGATGTGATCCACAAACTTCAGAATGTGCTTCTTGCACTGCTTGAGTCGCTTCATCTTCCCCTAAACAACGCAAGAAAACTCCCTCGAATGATCTTCGATACAAAGTATCTTTGTAGTAAAGGAAGCGAGGGGCACGACGACGGATTTCAGTCTTTCTCCTTGGATCTTGTGGAAGTATCCCATAGCATAAGTAGTCGATCATGACTTGTCGCCAATCAACCTTCTCAGCTTCAAAAACGGCTACAAGACGCTCAAGCTTGCTTTTTTCATCCTCATCCCCATCTGGTGGTACTATCCATTTTTGGCAGATAATGATTTGCATTTGGTCGGGCAGAGTCAATATTGAAGCCAGAGTAGCTAGGGCGCCAACTTTCTTATTTTCCTTCCTTGGCACATGCTGAAGAGTGACGTTGCCAAGCCATCCAATCAATTTCTGTGCATAGTCATGATAGGGACGCAATTCTGGCCTTTTGACCTTGTAGCTACCAAGCAATTGATTGATCACCAACTCGGAGTCTTCAAAAAATGTAATTGGAGTTGTTTCATATCAACGGCCATTTCAAGCCCTAGTATGAGTGCTTGATATTCTGCCACATTATGGGAGCAACATTGGGTTAAAGTAAAAGAATATGGCAAGACCTCTTCTTGGGAAGTGATGAACACTACACCCGCACCAGCTCCCTCGCAATGTGAGGCGCCATCGAAATACATCTTCCAAGGTGGTTCAACTTCGACGACCATTGCATCCTCATCAGGTAGCTCGTTAGTTAGCCCCCAATCATCCGTCGGATGATCAGCTAAGAAGTCTGCCAATGCTTGCCCTTTCATGGCTTTCTGAGGCACGTACACAATCTCAAATTGTTGAAATTGGAGGTACCACCTTGCTAGTCGGTCACTAAGGACATGTTTTGACATCACAAACTTGATGGGGTTTTCTTGGGAAATGAGACGGACAACATGAGCTTGAAAGTAGTGTTTCAACTTCTGAATTGAGAAGACTAGGGCCAAACATAGCTTCTCGATCGGTGAATACTTTAGCTCGTTTGGCTTCATCATTCTACTCAAGTAGTAAAGAGAATTTTCTTTCCCTTTACTATTCTCTTGGGCTAAGAGCGCTCCAACCGATCTTTCATGTGCCGCTATATATAATATCAATGGCTTCCCAGGAATGGGAGCCGCTAGAACTGGAGGTCTCTTCAAGTAAGATTTAATGTTGTCGAAGGCGTTACTACAAGCATGGTCCCACTCAAAAGGGACACCCTTCTTCATGAGACGACTGAATGGTTGACACTTCCCTGCTAAATTTGAGATGAATCTCCTAAGATATGCCAACTTCCCTTGCAGACTTTTCAATTCATAGATATTTCTTATCTCGGGCATTTTCAGGATTGTATCTACTTTGGCTTGATCAATCTCTATCCCTCGATATCGAAAAACGAAGCCAAGGAATTTTCCAGAAGTAACTCCAAATGCACATTTCAAAGGTTTCATTCTGAGTTGATACATCCGTAGTAGATCAAACACCATTCTCAAGTCTTGCAGGTGGTCTTCCCTCTTTCTTGATTTTACCACCAAGTCATCAACATAACATTCAACATTTTTGTGAAGCATGCTATCGAAGATATTTTGCATAGTTCTTTGGTAGGTGGCGCCAGCATTCTTCAAGACGAAAGGCATTACCTTATAACAATAAATACCTTTAGGAGTACGAAACGCGGTAAGCTCTTCATCCTTAGGTGACATGCGAATCTGATTATAGCCAAGCGAACCATCCATAAAAGACATTGCCTCGTATCTAGTGGCAGCGTCGATCATAAGCTCGGGAATAGGCAGCGAAAATTCATCCTTAGGACATGCATTATTGAGATCCCTAAAGTCGACAAACTTGAATTGTCCGTTCTTCTTTCTCACAGGGACAATACTAGAATTCCATATGGGGTACTTAACTTCACAAATGAAGCCAACTTCAATAATCTTATTAACTTCAGTTTCGATTAAGGGAACTAACTCTGGCCTAAAGCATCATTGAGCTTGCTTGATGGGACGTGCACCTTTCATGACCGCAAGATGATGGACTGCCACTTTACGGTCTAAGCCAGACATCTCTTTGTAACTCCAGGCAAAGACATCCTTAAACTCCTTAAGTATGTCAATGTAAGCAACTTCTTCATCAACTGCGAGCAAAGCACTTACATAAGTGGACCTTGGATCATCTTCAGTGCCAAGGTTGACCTCTTTCACTGCATCGACCGTCGTTTTAATCCCTTCCTCAAGTTCGGGCGGGGCATCTTCAGCGTCTTCATCCTTTTGAGGGTCACCAATATGTGAATAGCACCAGGAAATATCCTTCAATTCTTCATCAATATTTTTTGGAGATGAAGTATAACGCTCATTTTGTGCACTAACATGATATGAAGATCCAACACTCTCTTCGTCTTCATCACGTTCTTTGGTGTATACCACGACGTGCGACTTTACTTGTAGTACCTCTCCGTACGAAACCACAAGGTTTGTTTGTCGCCTCATTCTGGAAGGGATCAAACTCTGACAATCATTGGAGAGTCTTTGAGATTTAGACATAGAAGATGCTTTCATCCTTTTATGGTTTCTGTGCAACTTGCTTTTCTTCTTCAACGGCCCTAATCTCTCAGATACAGAAGTTCTCACAGTTGATTTTCCTAGACGATCAAAGACAGAAGGTCTTCCATTAGAAGCAACAGATTCGTCTTCCATAGTGATGTAGTTGTTGCTTATCCTTCTTATGGAGATGCGGACTAGCGAAGGTTGTTTGTATCCTAGGCCTTCACGTGATTGCCTTGTAACAGGTTCTGAGGGAAGTTTCCCTAATTGTGATAGTTCATTAGGATTGTACCCTGCTTTTACAAGTAGTTTGTAAGCTTTTGGATCGAAACCCTCGTCTGTACGCTTCTCCAGGAGTGCATCATTTTGTGTCAGACTATGGGCCACAAGCTTTCCAAGTAATTTTGAGGGTACCTTTACCGTGTCAATCCGTCTGATAGGAAGAGTCATTCCTCCTAATGCGTTTCCTTGCAACTTAGGAGTTTGTTCTTCGACTTTCTTAACCCTGGGAACATTGTGAGGAGTAGGTGCTACCCTTTTACTTGAAGATGCGGTATCCAATTGAGGCACCTTATTTGTTTTGGAGATCACTTGATATTCCTTAGCCCGAACCTTCGCAGCTCCCACTTCGGCTCTTTTGGTATTGGTCTCAGCATTCTTTATCATTGCAATGTCATCACTTTTTCCCTTCGAGACGTTGCCAACTTTGACTTCAGTCAGGACGTAACTCTTTAAGTAGAACTTTGCATCAGCAAAGTATGACTCAACTTCAGTGAATGGCTTGTCGTCGGTAACTATATTTTTTGACTCCCCCTTTATGATACTTCAAACATTGATAGTAGGTGGATGGGACAATTTTGTTCTCATGTATCCGCGGCCTACCAAGCAACATGTTGTATGAAGCTTTTGAGTCAATCACATTCATCCATGCACTTGAATGCATATCTCCGATGGTGTTCTCTAATTTTATATAACCTATGGCCTTTTCCCCCTTGATTAAATCCTTGAATCATCAAGTGGCTTTCAGAAAGTTCTTCAGTTGAAATTCCCAATTCCTTCATTGTGCGTATAGGAAGAATATTCACTCCAGATCCATCATCTACCAAGATTTTGTTTATCCTCTTCTCAAGCACATATCCTACCATGAATAAAGGACGATTATGAAGTGTTTCACCAAGTAGAAGATCGTCATCGGTGAAAGTAATTTTAGCCATGCAAGCATCTACGACTTCATGAGAGGTCTTTGGAGGGTCCTCTGGCGGAGACCGACATGATAAGGTTGCATTTTTTGCTTCTTCTCATCAATGTTACAACACAAAGCTTTGACGTTGTTTTGAACCAACTTGGTACGAAACCAGCTTGGTAAAAATTCTTCCAGCGTCACAGCTTGACGTGCATTCTGGTGGTGGTGACCCTTTATTCATTCCTTCTTTGAGCGCTTAATTGGATCCTTCATTTTGGATTTCCTCACCATTTTTCCCTAGTTTGTGGTTTGGACGACTCCATTTGTGAACTTGCTTTACGGTGTTTACGGCGAGTCACGAGAGTCCAACCCTTGTCATCAAGTTGATCTACTTGGTCTTCATCCCCGTTTGTGGATCCTTCATCTACTAGCACCAAATCGCTTGACGTTGAATGAGATGGTAATTCATTCACATCGACAGGTTCAAAGTACCCAAACCTGATCATTCTTGGCAGAATGGCATTTGGTATGTCTCTTCCTTCATGTCCCTCAACAACATTGCAGGTAATGCACGTATCGAGTGAGCCAAAAGTGACACAAACTTGGTTTTTATTTGCTTTCTCATCTTCAAGAGTGATATTTCCTTCGCGGGCTAGCTCCATAACTTTATCCTTGAAGACAAAGCACTTCTCAATGGGGTGGCCGACAAAATGATGGTACTTGCAATAACTTGGCTCATTGTTTCTCCCTGTTTCATTTGGTCACTTCATCTCTGGCAACTCCAAAAGTTTTAGTGCAAGGAGTTCATCAAAGATTGCGGGAATATCAGAATCAAGGAATGGGTACTCTTTCTCTTGCATTTCCTTCAGAGTAAGTTTTCGGTTTGCCTTACCCTCCAGAGAAGTCGTCTTCACACTCTGCTTCTTGCTTACCTTAGTAGTAAACTTCATAGGCGAAGCATTGACATTCATAGTTCTTTTGCTATCAGCCTTGGGCAAAAATTTCCCCACTTTCTTGACTACTTGCTTGTCTCTGCCTATGCGAGGTTCCTGGACATGTGGCTCTTCATTCCCAACTGCAGCCATGCTTAACTCCATATCATGAGCCCGAGTGGCCAGTTCTTCGAAAGTCTTAGGCTTTATGCCTTGCAAGATCTAGTGAAGATCCCAATGCATACCTTGAATGCACACCTCAATTCCGGAGGCTTCACTAAGCCTATCTTTACAGTTGAGACTTGCATGTGTCCATCGATTAATGAAGTCAATAACTGGCTCTCCCTTTTGTTGGAGCGTGTTTGTAAGTTCTACCATACTTACGGTACATCTTGTGCTATATAAGCGATTGAGAAACTTTTGCTCCAATTGTTCCCAACTATCAATGGAACCAGACTCAAGGTCTGTGTACCAATCAAAAGCATTCCCTTTAAGGGAAAGAACAAACTGTTTGACGAGGTAATCACCATATGTTCCAGCATTGTTGCATGTTTCGACGAAGTGCGCCACATGTTGCTTTGGATTTCCTTTTCCGTCAAACTTCTGAAAGTTTGGGGGTTGATAACCAGCAGGCATCTTCAAGATATCAATCCTTGCGATGTATGGTTTTGCATATCTGAGAGAGGATTTGGCAGCCACCTCGTACTTATCTTTGAGAGTCCCCATGATGAACTCCTTCAATTGATCAATCGGGATCATCCCTTCGGAAGAGACTGTGATTTCCTTAGATGACGCCACTTGTATTGCGGGAAAATCAATTCTCTCTTGTGCTTCTAGACGCTTTCTAGGTGCATGACTGGAATCTCCTTCCATTAGGCCGTCCACCCTATCTGTTAACTTGTCAATTCGAGCTTCTTGACCCTGCATACATTTGGTAAAGACTTCGATCGCTTTTGTCAAGTTTGCGAGTTGGTCCTCTAGGGACGAAGCATTGGTAATCATTGCATGCATGGCCATAGTAAACGATGGAGAATAACATGGATTCTCGTGAACATAAATTTGGACATGTTATGTGGAGTAGATTCAGTACTCAAGGTGTCATCATCAATTTGCCCAGGGGACTTCTTGGGTGTAGACAAGCTAAGTTGGGCAAGAATCTTCTCGATCCTTTCGACGATGTTATTTCCTTCTGTAGGTGTGCTTGCAGAAGATCTCACGCCTTTTGAAGATGATGAACCGAAGACAACAGAAGATTCAGACTACGTTTGAGATGTTCGTTGTCCCAACAATTTGGCGTGGTTCCTTGTAATTGGTCCCACGCTTCCCTTAGTGACATCTAGGATGTTTTCCACAGCAGCAGAAAATTTAGATTCGGTGGCTTTTGTGGAAGCGAACTTTGAGTTGACCTTCTTAGGAGCCATCTTAGTGTTCTTGGATTTTGATTGTTGGAGAGAAGAGATGAGAGGCAAAGATAGTCCCACTGGGCGTGCCAAAATTTGTAACAGCTAAAATTTCATTCCTGAAAATAAAATCAAGAAAAGAAATATAGCAACAAATAAAAGTATTTGTATTCCAGTAATTCACGCGGGTTACAATCTTTGAACAATCTTAGGTTTAAAATATGTAATCCTCTGATTCTTCTCCTCACCACCATCAATTCGAGAGCTTCGTTTGTTCTTGAATTGATGGACCACTTGTTGTTGGGATTTGACCACAAATGCGGAGCTAGGCTTTGATCACAAATATGGAGGATGGAAACTTGCGGCTCACCCCTTGGAGACGACTACTTCTTGCTATGCGGAAGACTTGGGAATCACCATTGTAGAGGAGAG